CTTTTGAAAGGTTACGGCAGCAGTGACAACTTCTGTACCATTTTTTTCTAAGAGTGTGTAGTAGAGTATAGAAAATATTACCAAAAAGGATATGATACTTGAATTGGACTTGTCCTTGAAAGACATGAATTTGACATTATAAACATATAAACATGCCTGTTATTGCCTACAACAGCATAGAGACGGGAAAGACCATGACTGTGTTGCTTTGTGGGACTGAAGGAATTTTATTTCATACCCAGACAGTAGTAGTCTAACTAAATAGGTCACTACATTTTTGATTTTCTGTTTTTATAAGTTTACTCTGTGGATTAAATAGTTTAAGCATTTCAAAAAAATGAAATGCTGACAGAGTTTAAATCCTTGGCAGGCTTTGTAACCTATGCAAAAGTAATTTCCTTAGGAGACATCCTTTTTCACCAGGAAATTTTTTTGCTGTTTTACTATGGCCCTCTTTCCTCAGCCTCCATCTCCCTTGCTTTACCCCCACTACTTTAAAGCTCCTGATCCTTATCCCTTACACTGCACTATCCACCTGTTTCTTGAAACCTGATCTACTTCCTAGTGATATCACTGCCTGTCTTGTCTTTCAAATGCATATTTACATGTAGGATTTAACCAAAGCCCTGTCACACTGATCCAGCAAGATAACATTATTGACATCTAATGGTATTTTGCTGTAAGCAAGAAACACAGTCCCAGTCACATGGACAAAACACTGGGCAAAAAGATCCATCCAATGAGAACACAAATAGTTTACCCAAAATGTACTCACCCTCAGGCCATCCAGGATGTAGATAAGTTTGTTTCTTCATCGGAACAGATAGCATTACATCACTTACTCACCAATGGATCCTCTGCAGTGAATGGGTGCCGTCAGAATGAGAGTCCAAACAGCTGATAAAAACATTACAAAGATCCACAGCATGACTCACAGCATGACAGAGGATGGACTTTTTCACTGGAGGAAGGGTTATTATGGATTATGGACACATATTTTGGTCAGAAGCCATAGTTAAAATGCATTAATGATGGATTTGTTTCTAACAAACATGCAGATTTCATTTCACAAGATGGTAACTGATTGACTGGAGTCATGTTGTGTATTATTGTAATGCCAGCTGTTTGGACTCTCATTCTGACGGCACCCATTCACTGCAGAGGATCCATTGGTGAGTAAGTGATGTAATGCTAAATTTCTCCAAATCTGTTCCTATGAAGTAACAAACTCATCTTGGATGGCCTGGGGGCAAGTACATTTTCAGCTAATTTTAATTTTGGGGTAAACTATTCCCTTAAAGACATGCCCTGCAGTTTCTCTGTGGATTGGGGTAATTAGTCTCTCGTCAAGCTCTCATGGAAAATACAGGATGATCAGTATCTCTACAAAGAGATGATGGCCTAGACTAAATACAGAGAAGAGTGATATTGGTAAGAGGAGCGGATGCAAGAAGACACACTTATTAAACAGTGCAACTCAAGAACAGGATGAGACTGAATTGAGTTTTGAATACAAAACATGTCTAAAGTCAAAAAGGAAATAAACAAAAAGCCCAAAGCAGAAAATAACTCAAAGCACAGGAGGGAGGAAACTCTGATAACATTAGACTTGTAACAATGTGTACTGTGCACTAAACTCAGTTACAAGCTTATCTTACATTTCTTAATAATCACCTCACTATCAATAATAAGCATGAAGTGTGGGAAAAAAAGAATCACATTGTTTTCTCAAAGGCATTTGTCATCATCAGATCATGTGTGAAAATAACTTTGTGGACTGTTTGAAGCTTTTGAAGTGAAACATGATATTACAAACGTCAACACTTGCTATTTGTTAACCCAGAGTTCATTATGATGTAGCATAGAGGAAAGCCAGCCCCAGGACATCGCTCAAATCTGAGCTCCGTAAACATTGCCATGATAAGCTAAGAATTCTCCGCTGGATCCGTTCCCTTTTTGGCACTGATCTCAAGACAGGAATCACAGTTAATGGGCCTGAACACCAGCAGTTTCTACATAATCATGGGAGACTGTAGGAAGAACGCAGGAAGACAAAACACATGGATGTGGTAGACACATAGAGTAACTACTTACAGCTATTTATTTCATTAAGGCCCAAGCCACTAGGGGCGCAGGGCACTATTGTTCTTCTAAGGATTATTATTTTATTTTTTTTCAAGGTTTTTGTTTTTTTTGGGGGTGAATTAATGCATACTCCTTGTTGGAGAATGATGCAATTCACAACAAATTTTGTCAACGTAATGCCAAGATACTGAAGATGCTAAATTGCGAACGGATTTTGTATATCTTGAATGGTGTCGCCATGGCTTTTTATTAAAAATAACAGTAAAAAAGATAACAGTAATTTTCTTATATCTTTAAAGTGCATAATCCAAACTCTTTAAAAAAAATACATATGGAGAACTAGTCATTCTGAGAAAACATGCTTATTTTCATAAATTTAAAATCCTCAGGGGCCAGCAGAAAATTTAAAACTATCAGACATTTCAGCTGACAGATGAAGGCTGTAATACTAATGTTGTCATAGGATTAGAAATCTTTTAAGCCTATTCTTGTTCATCTCAATCTCCATCTATTAGAATGACAAATAAATGCATAGGATCTGTTGATATGTACTGTACTGTCAGTATACTTTTGCATAATTATTTTAGAAATCCTTATAGAGCATTAAAATAATTTTAAAAAATCTTATAGATCATTAAAAGTTTTATATATCCTACTCTCTCTCACTCAAAGGATAAGAAATCTTTAAGCCTGATCCTTTACTGCACAGTTCAGTTAGTTAGATTGACAAACAAATACATAAAATAAGTTAATATGTACTCTACGGGTAATGTGGTTTCATATAATTATTTACAGATGCTTATAGATCATTAAAAGTTTTGGTAACACTTTTCAATAAGGTCACATTTGTTAACATTAGTTAATGCATTAACTAACATGAACTAACAATGAACAATATATTTTTACAGCATTTATTAATCTTTGTTAATGTTAGTTAATATAAAATATTAATGTTCATGTTAATCCACAGTGCATTAACTGATGTTAAAATATACAACTTTAAACGACTTTTTAAATAATATTAAAAAGTTCATTTTTAACTTAATATTAACTAACATTCATAAATGCTATATAATAATTGTTCATGTTAAGTAATATAGTTAATGTTAACAACTGAAACCTTATTGTAAAGTGTTACCACAGTTTTATATATTGTTCTCTGTGTGTGTGTGTGTGTGTGTGGGTCACACTCTTGATGTTATAGTGTAACCCTTTCATTTCAGTAACCTTTAAGACCAGACTGCCAGAGGGTTACTGTAAATGCATGTCCCCATTGTGTACCGTTTTCCTGATGCCACTGGGGTGGCGGTTGCACTGGTGGCTTGGGCCCATCATCACTGCTTGCAACTATATTTTGATTTTATTTTTTAAGGAAAGAATTTGCTGACTAATAATTGTAAGCTTGTACAGACAAAAAACCTTTAGACATGGGACAGTATTGGTGCAATGAAGATTATTTTATAGTTTATACACTTTACAATAATGTCCCATTAATATCAGTTAATGCATTAATGAACATTAACTAACAACGAGCAAAATTTTTTTTTACCGTATTTATAAATTTTTACGTAAATAAAATACAACTGTTCATTGTTAGTTCAAGTAAGCATAGGTCCATTAAATAACATTAACAGATACAACATTTGATTTTAATCATGTGTTAGTAAATGTTGAAATTTATATTAAATATTTACATTAATAAATGTATTTAAATTTTTAGTTCAAGTTAACTAATGTAACAAATAACAAACAGAACTTTATTGTGAAGTGTTACTATTTTTTATTAATGTTTGAATTAGCTTTTATTTTTATATTTTCAGATTTCATTAAAATTTTTTGTAATAATGTGCTTTTGTCATTTTTATTAATATTTAATTAAAAATATATAGTTATTTGTGTTTCATTTATTAGTTAGTAAGTATTAGACTAGGCATTGGACTTATGTGAAAGGAAGAGGAGGAACTGGGGGGAAACAGATTGAGAGAGACAGACTTGGGTGGACAAAGCGAAAAAAAGGAAAAAATAGACTGTTGTGAAGTCAAAAAGGGGAGAGAAGAACCTAAAATTATATCCCTGCCTCCCTTTTGGAACCAGCATCTGAAAAGTATTCAAAAGCTACATGTTATTCACAGCAAATAGCTGGCATGCTTGAGCAGAGGGGATTGTTTACTCTAGGAAGAACAAGATAGAGCAGCTGATGGTACAATGAAGGAGCAGAGAGAAAAACAGAGAATGAAGATGAAAAGATATATAACAGAAAAGATCAGACAAATAGACACAGACAAAAGCACAATGTGAAATTCTTGTAGCTGTTGATATTAAATGCAACCGATGCAGTTACATCTCTGAAGAAATGGCTGTTATATAACTTCACCTCCCCAAATGGCTTTTTTTTTTTTTTTTACCAATCCATCTCTCATTTCTAACAGCAGCGGTTTTGAATGGATCAGCGTGTTTCTCCGGGCTATTTTCCCTCTGAGCACAATTCCTGAGCACACCACATGCTTTGATAAAAAAACAAAAACAGGAGGATACTTAAAATGGAATCTTGTTGCTGAGCTGAGCGATAAACCTTTAAAATGTATTTTCCATAACTATTTAATGTTTTATTATTAAATCAATAATGTTAATTATTCTAATTAATAATGTATTATTATGATTATAATGTATTATAAGTTTGAAAAGCAGTAGCATAGACATTTGACAGGGCTGGTCATGTGATTTCAACATAGCTGCACCCATGACAGGGTAACCTAAAAAGCTTTTTCTGGAAGACTAATGTTTGGAGTCGTTCTCTTATATAAGTGTGCATCATTATAATGGCATTACCCAAAAATGCTTTTCATTTTCAGCAAATAAATAAACAGGCCTAAATAAACACAGCTTTAAACGTCAAATATGTAACATTTCAGCAATTAACACGCGATAAATGTCTGCAAACTGAAAACTACTCGAGAGATATACAGTCGTGGCACTGAACAACACACTGAGATCATGGAACTTGTCCAAGTAGTGTTCGAAACGCCCGCCCCGCGATTCTCCCCTGACCAAAGGCGACACGGAGCTCCACACTGACCGCTGCCTCTCAAACTGGAGACTGTACAAAAGAGAAAAGATTTATGGTGGACTGCAGGATCTTACTATGTGGAGATACATCTCATTCATTGCTTTTTGGGGCATGATAAACTTGTATTCATCAACCCACGAGGTGAGTTGTACTGGTTTACTCAATTGTCACATTAATGTCTCAGCATTTTGAATTGTGTCGATTTATTTAGGAGCATATGCTAGTGCGTACTATTAACAGCGTAACCAATGTTAATTTAGTCAGCAATTAGTCTACCCTGTTGCATATAGACAGACTAGTCGTGTGTTATTGAGTGCATGACGGAGGAAACCTAATATGTGCTGCTGTAAAATTAGTATGCGCTCTCCACTGCATACTTACAGTTCATGCCCGTTATGAGCGGCAGTCATGCGGATTTTGATTCATTTCATTCTTTATGATAAATTAATTTAATTAGATGTTGGAATTTAAGGTTTACATACTAGTTAATGAGCTTTATTCAAGATTTGGCTTTGGTTACTGATGAGGAAAACATGCACTTCTACTTTTATGTTAAACTGTACCTTTGAAAAGTGAAATAACTAGGATGACATTTCTGTGAAGCAATGAAATCCAAAGTTCACAAATGACTAGATCAATGGACTGCTACAGCAACATTTTAGTTCAGAAACATTGATCTGTCCTTGTCCCATATATTCAGTTACTCTTATTTGTCATTTTCCTTATATTTTGCATTACAGGGTATTAGAGGTCCGTTAACTAGTATTCATTGTGCCACTGTGCCTTTTTAGATTCGTTTAGATTAGGTAATTGTTCTGTAGATAGCATGGATAAAGAAGTGTAAATAGGAAAATAAAGGGAATAAAGACACGAGTAAAGCAGACAGGGCCAGTTACAGTATATTTTCACACAAAACCATTGAGTTTGTTTGCATTTGGTATTTTCCATAATGGACTCACTCTGCCAGACAGTCATGCTGAGTGCTTTGTAAAAAATAGGATATGTTCATATGATGAAAGGAATATATTTGTAATCATGATTTTCTCCTTGGCAGCCTTTTTTTTTTTTCTTTAGACCACATGAGATGAGAGAAAAAGTGGAGGTCATTTGGTGAAAAGGAAAAATGAGGCCATTTCTTGAATGTTTGTTCACCTAGTTAGCTAAGTTATAGTGTAGCCTAGCTGATCAAGATGTAGTTTCAGGGGAATTGGAGAAATATGTTAAGTACTGTATATGAAACACCTTTTGAACAATTTTTCAGTTCAAAAGAACAAATGTTCAGTGTGACTGATGTTCAAATCACTTATTTTTATTATATTATATACATCTGCATTGGACGGCTGCAAAGAGCAAGTGCTATTAAGATCAGACAGATCAACTTTTATGCCCACATGAATAAGGAATAGAGGGAAAGAAACCCCAAACATGTTTCCAATCTTGAATGTGGGTACTGTACTGGATGTCTGTAATAGACAGAGATGTTTCCCCCAGGAATGCATGCACACACACGGGATCTATCAGACTGCGGTTTACGGATTGACGTGCACATCTCCTCTCAAACAATGCACAGACATAATTGCATTGTTTACATTCACTAAAAACAGCTGCAAGAATTATGAGACAGTGTGTTTTGGTTTATTGCCATTTGTCGTGTCAAGAGGCAACAATAGCCCTGCTGAATGTCAGTGTATTAGTTGGTTATGTTATGTTTAGCATATTACACGACGACATACACCACCAACCATTCGCATTTCTCAGCAGATGTTAGAAAAAATAGTTACGTTTGGGGACATTGTTCCCAAAGTACATTTTTGACCATAGATCTAGATATGGATACATGTGATTCCATGTTTGACCAATACTTACTAAATATTAATACTTTGAAAACATATTAACATTATTTTTATTTAAAACAATGTTATGTAATATTATATACACTATCAGTCAAAAGTTTGGAATAATTAAGATTTATGTTTTTACTCGCCAAAGCTGAATTTATTTTATTAAAAATACAGTAAAATTGGTGATACAGTAATAAAATAACAATATTTCACAATATTACTGTATTTCTGATCAAATAAACGCAGCCTTGGTGAGCATAAGAGACTTCTTTCTAAAAAAATTTTTAAAAATTGCAATTATTCCAAAGGTTTGGCAGTGTAATATTATTTCATATTATATATTATGTAAAACAAAGACATATATAAATAATAACATAAAAATAAACAATAAATCATATAAATAAAAAAATAATAAATGTAAGATTCTATACACTATTTCTCACTAACAAACTATAATTTATCATGTGAACATCCTTGTACAAAGGGTCAGAAATACTATAAGCAAAAAGGAGACAAACCAAATGCTAAGGCATTCTGGAATTCATGTTATTTTTTACATTTACATTTAGACATTTAGCAGACGCTTTTATCCAAAGCGGCTTACAAATGAGGACAATGGAAGCAATCAAAATCAACAAAAGAGCAATGATATGCAAGTGCTATAACAAGTCTCAGTTAGCTTAATGCAGTACACGTTTGCTGCTGCGTTCTGGATTAATTGTAAAAGTTTGATAAAACTGGCTGAAAGACCTGCCAGGAGAGCATTGCAATAGTCCAGCCTGGACCTAACAAGAGCTTGAACAAGGAGTTGTGTTGCATGTTCTGAAAGAAAGGGCCTGATCTTCTTAATGTTGTATAAAGCAAATCTGCAGGACCGGGTAGTTTTAGCAATGTGGTCTGAGAAAGTCAGCTGATGATCAATCATAACTCCAAGGTTTCTGGCTGTTTTTGAAGGAGTTATGGTTGATGTGCCTAACTGGATGGTGAAATTGTGATGAAACGATGGGTTTGATGGAACCACAAGCAGTTCTGTCTTGGCAAGGTTGAGTTGAAGAAAAGTTCCAGCAAGAAATGTCTGTTAGACAAGCTGAGATGTGAGCAGCTATCGTCGGCTCATCAGGATGGAATGAGAGGTAGAGTTGAGTGTCATAGCAGTGATATGAAAAGCCATGTTTCTGAATGACAGAACCTAGTGATGCCATGTAGACAGAGAAGAGAAATGGTCCAAGAACTGAGCCCTGAGGCACCCCAGTAGTTAGATGTTGTGACTTGGACACCTCACCTCTCCAAGATATCTTGAAGGACCTTTTTATATTCAACTTTTCACTCAAATTGTTATGCTGATAATATAATTTGTATTGCACATATGTATTAAATTATAAACATATTTTCACTAGTTGTCTTAGACTTTTGGACTTTTGGTCTGCTTTAATCATGGTCTGTGTTACGCATCCACCTGTTTCACTCTCTCATACAGGACGTTTGTTGATTTTACAAGAACCCCTTCAAACTGGGACGCCTGATTGGAATAAGCCAGCAGGATTCGGGGGGTGAAGGAAGGGAAGAGGGATTAGGGGCTTATCCTGGACATGACCAAACATTAAGGAGCCTCCGTCAAGCCATAGGCTACTATTGCCCAGATTATTACATTTAATGTATTGCCTTTTAAAGACCCTTTATCTCCCCCTGGAGATTCCTGGCGAGTGGGCCGCTGGATTTGAGTATCTTTAAAAACAAAGGATCAGGAGCAGAGGCCAGTGGGAGTGGAGGAGCATGAGGAGAGTATACATGCAAGGATAAAGCAACAAGCCTCCCTGCCGCTTTACACTTCAGCAGGGTGCAGGTCAAGTGTTACTGAATGAACTTGTATTGGGAAAGCATGCGATCACATTGATTACACAAGTCTGATTAAGGTATGTGACCTCTGTAACTTTTAGCAGTATATAAAAAAAAAAAAAAAAATATATATATATATATATATATATATATATATATGTATATATATATACTAATATACCGACCAAAATACTGTGCAAGTGAATGACTGAGAAGTCAAAGCTGAATTTAGGCATTAAAATGCACTACACTCAATAATTTAATAAAAGACTAATTAAAAACTTATTAGTCAAATTAACTCAGTTTTACAGAACATGCAATTTGTCTGTGCCTATGTCTCATACCATATTGTATCACTTTCTTTTTAGCAACTGAATTGTTTACAGATATTTTGTTAATATTTGCATCTTCCAGAGCATGTAGCAGCAGACTCTCTGGACCTTACTAAAGAAGGAGCACATGGTTTCAGTCCTAAACCACATATCTGCAGTCTGAGCTGAATTTATTTCTGAACTGATTTTTTTTTCAAAAGCACAAACCTAGAACAACTGTGAAGCCCAGAATCTTTGACCACATATGCAGCAGAGGTTTTCAGGAATTGGAGTCATGCATATTTTCAGCTCACATTTATCTTCACAGAATCTTTCTGGATATGAACAAAGACCGATGGCCAAAACGGGACATAGCTGAATGCGTCTGCCTTTTGAGAAACTTTCCACTCAACTGCAGTTGTTATTCTGCTGAGATATTTTGAAGTGTATAATTTGCTTTCTTACGGTGTTCTCACCATTTTTTTAAACAAATTTTACTTTTTGTACCCGGAGACGCTATGAACTTGGGCAAGCTCGCCGGCCTGAAGGGCCTGGTTTCCCACTCCTCAGGAAAGCGTCGATTTAAAGGTGACCTCACCCCAGACATGATCAGCCCCCCATTGGGCGACTTCCGCCACACCATGCATGTGGGCCGTGGGGGGGATGTGTTTGGGGACACCTCGTTCCTCAGCAACCATGGTGGAGCAGGAAATAACGCAGATGGAGACTCTTGCACTTCAGAGAAGAATGAGGGATTCTTCTCCCGCACGCTTCGCCATGTCCGCAAGACCCCCGACAGGCCTCGCGGCGACTCCAAGGACCTTTCACCCCCACCTCCAATCATTTCTCCAATCATAAAGAATGCCATTTCCCTCCCCCGGCTGGACGTGGACTCACCCAACGGCTGTCCTGTGAAAGTGCTTTTCACTAGTTCACCCAAAACACCAGAGAACTCCACATACTTGTATGGTGAGTTTGTTAGTGTTGTTCACCTTTGTCAGACTCCGATTCAAATGCAGAAGTGAAGCCCATAAGTTATGGGCCTTCTGTGTGTGTACATAAGTCACTGCTGATATGATTGAAACCACATGGCTGATGGAGGGTATGATGATACACAATCAAGGAATTTTAAATGTGAGATATCTAGGCTTTGGAAGGGCATGAAAATAAATAAAATCCTTATAAAGCTTGAAAAAAATCTTGAACATTACCTTGATGAATATTATTTTGCAAATTTTTTGTAGCACCACATCTCAGACAAAAGAACAGCGTCTAAAAGGATAGTCATCACTGCATTAACAATAAATTCAGTTCAGTTCTATACACATCACGTGAATTTAATATACAGTAAATGAAGTTGTGAATGTGCAGTTTTTGTTAGCAAATAATAAATAAAATTAAATATTAATAACTGAAATGTGTGTACCGAACAGGATTAAGCAATATAAATTTTTTTTTTTTTCCAATATTTTTATTCAGCACGGACACATTAAATTGATCAAAAGTGACTGTAAAGACATTTATGATGTTACAAAAGATATTTTCTATTCACCAAAGAATCCTGGGGGAAAAAAAGGTATTCATAGCTGTTTTCACAAAAATATGTAAATATTAATAACTGAAATGTGTGTACCGAACAGGATTAAGCAATATAATTTTTTTTTTTTCTCTCCAATATTTTTATTCAGCACGGACACATTAAATTGATCAAAAGTGACTGTAAAGACATTTATGATGGTACAAAAGATATTTTCTATTCACCAAAGAATCCTGGGGGAAAAAAAGGTATTCATAGCTGTTTTCACAAAAATATTAATCATTATAAGTATATCAGCATAAATATTAATCATTAACTGTTTTTAACATTGGTAATAAATAAGGAAATTTTACTTGAGCACCAAATTAGAATATTAGAATGATTTCAGAAACAATCATGTGACTCTGAAGACTGGAGTAATGGCTGTTGAAAATGCAGATTTGCCATCACAACAATAAATAATACTTTAAAATAGAAATTTGTTATTTATAAATTGTTGCATTATATTTTTGGTCAAATAAATGCAACCTTGTTGAGCATAAGAAACTTCTTTCAAAAACGATAAAAACCTTACCGATCCAAAACCTTTGAATGGTAGTGTACGTAGTGTGTTTTGTCTGAATTAAATATGTTTGTTTACTAGCTTTGTGTCCTTCAGTAAAACATGTGTCAGATCAAACAGAAATTGTTTGATAAACCATCTAAACACCTGTGGCAATCCCAGACGACTGGAGTAATGGCTGTTGAAAATGCAGATTTGCCATCACAACAATAAATAATACTTTAAAATAGAAATTTGTTATTTATAAATTGTTGCATTATATTTTTGGTCAAATAAATGCAACCTTGTTGAGCATAAGAAACTTCTTTCAAAAACGATAAAAACCTTACCGATCCAAAACCTTTGAATGGTAGTGTACGTAGTGTGTTTTGTCTGAATTAAATATGTTTGTTTACTAGCTTTGTGTCCTTCAGTAAAACATGTGTCAGATCAAACAGAAATTGTTTGATAAACCATCTAAACACCTGTGGCAATCCCAGACTCCTTAGACCCAGACATTACAGTTCAGTGATCAGCGTCTGCCTCACCCATTCAAATACCTCAAACATGCCTCACTGGCTGCTCTACAGGAGAGCCTGTTCAAAAACAACCCCCGCATACAAAAAAAAAAAAACATACACCAAATGCACACCCAAACAGTCTGATGAGTTTAATAATCAATATATGGAAAGTTTTAGTAAGCAAACTAAGTGTTTAATTCAGCTGACTGAATGGCTCACCATCAGACTGAAGGCTATAATGTTGTTCTGACCGGGAGCTATGAATGAGATGTTTCAGTGGTGAGCACACATCCCATCTTAGAGCACTGTTTTCAATCATGTGAAGAGTTTCTGTATCCACGCTTTTCCTGTAATTTGTAATTGCTGCCCTTTCTGTGCCAAGTGTGCACTGTTACAGAGCTCTATATGGTCAGAATCACAGATCTTAAAAGGACAGTTCACCTAAAATGAAAATGTTGTCATCATTTACTCACATTCTTTGTGTTGCTCCAAACCTGTATGACTTACTTTCTTCTGTGTAACACAAAAGAAGATATTTTGACTGTATTTGTCCATATAATGAAAGTCAATGGGGTCCATAATTGTATGGACCCCATTGACTTTCATTGTATGGACAAAAACACTGAGACATGAGGGTGAGTAAATGATGACAAAAATGTAATTTTGGGGTGAACTATCGCTTTAAGGGCATCCAACCATATGGCAGAAAGTATTTGCTACTCCTGCTTAGGCTGCAGTCCGGAAGTGCTAAATGCAATGTGTTGGTTCTCACTGCCCTCTGTTGGTCAAACTCATAAGCAAGAACAATTTCGTTCTTCTTTCTTTGTTTTGCAGGTTTGGAGTCTGGCTTTGTAACCTTGCCGAGACTGTCCCGCACTGAGCGTCCAGCCCAGGGCAGTTCTCCCTCAGCCTGCCTGCCTGAAATCCACAGAGGCTCGCTCACGGACACGGGTATCCCGTCCTTCCCCTGTTCAGACTCCATCAGTCCTTCTGACTCCATGAGCTCCTTCACTCTTGATTTGGGCCCTTCCCTCATGTCTGAAGTCTTTGCCATGATTGACAGCCCTGTGTGTGAGAAGGCTGATCCCATCAGTGAAAAAACACAGTCCACCGATGACAACTCTGAGGTGGACTCAGACGCAACCACATCTTTGGTGGACTCTCTCCTGAGAGAAGACGATGACGGTAGGACACGGTTATATGGAGGAGAGTGGAAGCATTCAGACTTTGTAAATGGTGAGTCACCCAAAAAATCCATGCTGGGGGATCGGATGCCAGAGAGTTTCCAGAGGGCTGCTGATGTGCTGGCACGTCATTATGGGAGTGGAGGACTCAGGAATACAAACACCAACAACTCTCATAGGAGAGGACCATACAGCTATCCTGATGAAGAGGAAGAAATCAAAGTCTAACACTATGAGATGCCTAATGTCCAAATCGTACAGCACTTTTAAAGGGATACTTTAAAAATCAAAAATGAACATTCTGTCATAATTGACTCAGCCTCATGTTGTTCCAGACCTGTTTCTTTCTTCTGTGCTATAATAAAAAGATTGGCACAAAATGCCACTCTTTTCATTATAATGTAATTGAATGAGGACTGGGCCTATCAAGCTAAATAATCATAAAAAAGCACCATGAAAGTATCATAAATGTAGTCCATATTTTTCTGAAACCAGTTTTTTTTGAGAGAAGACGATGACGGTAGGACACGGTTGTATGGAGGAGAGTGGAAGCATTCAGACTTTGTAAATGGTGAGTCACCCAAAAAATCCATGCTGGGGGATCGGATGCCAGAGAGTTTCCAGAGGGCTGCTGATGTGCTGGCACGTCATTATGGGAGTGGAGGACTCAGGAATACAAACACCAACAACTCTCATAGGAGAGGACCATACAGCTATCCTGATGAAGAGGAAGAAATCAAAGTCTAACACTATGAGATGCCTAATGTCCAAATCGTACAGCACTTTTAAAGGGATACTTTAAAAATCAAAAATGAACATTCTGTCATAATTGACTCAGCCTCATGTTGTTCCAGACCTGTTTCTTTCTTCTGTGCTATAATAAAAAGATTGGCACAAAATGCCACTCTTTTCATTATAATGTAATTGAATGAGGACTGGGCCTATCAAGCTAAATAATCATAAAAAAAGCACCATGAAAGTATCATAAATGTAGTCCATATTTTTCTGAAACCAGTTTTTTTTAGCATACTATGAGGAACAGACCAAAGTTCCCAAAAGTCATTAATATTGATAATATTCTGTTCCTCTGGACTGTGAACTGGATCATTGAGTCACTCGCGAACCAAATCAGTTCTGGTTCGATTTGTGAACGAATCATCCAGACTGGTTTTCTGTACTTGATAAACTGATTCATTGAAAAGATAGTTCAATGTTGTTTGGTTCCCAACATTCTTCAAAATATTTGGTTCTGCAGAAGAAAGAAATGCTTGGAAGGTTTGGAATGAGATCAGGATTTTCTTTTTGGGTGGGGGGTTCTTTAATAACAATGAAATAATAAATTGTAAATGTAACAATAATGAAATTTGTTCTGTTCCTCACAGACAGCTATGGTATGACTTACAACCCACAAGTCCACGGGATTACTTTTGTTAAACTTTTGGTGCTTTTTTGTCATTTTGGAGTTTGGAGTTTACAGTTCTCATTCAGACTCATTATATGGAAAAGAGCACCAAGGATATTCACCTAAAAATTTTTGTTCCACAAAGGAAGGTCATACAAGTTCATAATGACATTATTTTTTGGATGCACTATTTCTTAATTTTTTTGAAATGGGGAAAATGAAAGATAATTACTTGTTATTTGCCCTTACGCTCATGGTATTTTAAAGAAAGTATCACAAAAAAGAACAGGAAAAAAAAAAAAAACATCAGAATTACCTGCAATATGAGTAAATCTATCAATTTTCTAATTTATTGGACAAGAACATAAACGAATTTTGGCATCTCAAATTTTCACCTATGTTTGATCCTACCTTCTCATTCCTAAAATATTAGATTTGATCCAGGAAAATAAAACCTGCCACAGTTGCTCTGTAATGCACAATAAACACAGCTAGCTATACAGTGGTAACAATATGCCATTAAAATATGCAAAATTTTAGTTTACAGTATTTAGATTTCAAGTAAACCTCTATCGTATGTAATGTACAGTGATACCATGTAGAAGTACAGACATATATACCTGCTAGCTATCTTGTATCTAATACACAAAACACTTTGCATTTTGCATTCATGTAGTTTTAATAGCTCATATTCCCATTGTGAACATTGTGTGGCAGTTTAATTTTTTTTTTTTATTATTTCCTGAGAAACCAGCGATCTTTAAAAGATAAGACGAAGACCCACTGGTTACTGTGATGTGCTTTATGTTTTCACATTAGCACAAACAAAACAGATAAAATAACCATGACTTTCATTTTTCTTTCCTTTATTACATGATAAATATCTTAAGATCAACACAGTAATATTATATGATGCCCAACAACTTTTATCAATGTATTATGAAATTAAGATTAAATATTAATATGAATTTTGTTTGAATTTAAGTTTTATTATGACAGAGTTAACCTCTCCATTCCCTTAATCACAATATAATATGTACATACTGTACGTATGTGCGGCTTTGCACAAGAAATTTACAAAATAGCAATGTATGTTACCTATCAATGACGGCAATAAAGTTTTCATTAAAAGAGGCTATGAACAACATCAGCCTTAAAATGCTTTAACAAGTGTGAACATGATTTTACTGTTATGGCGTTTCAAATGTCATGCTTTCAGTATAAGCATATATACAGTATATATATATATATACTGTATAAATATCTAATGTGAAGTGTGTCAGTACGCCTTAAACTAAAACCAAAGAAAGTCAGATTGTACTGTGTTATATTTGTGTTTGACAGTTCTTAAAACCCGTATCTCTAGAGCTGATCTAAGATACTAAAGGATAACCAAAAATACATATACTTTTGTTCAAAGGCTTGGGGTCAAAACTGATCAAAACTGACAGTAAAGATATTTATAAATTTAGAGTAAATCAAAGAAACAAATGCATCATGGCTTTCACAAAAATATTAAGCAGCACAACCGCTTTCAAATTTGATATTAAGAAATGGTTCTTGAGCACCAAATCAGCATATTAGAATGATTTCTGAAGGATCATGTGACACTGACTGCTGGAAATTCAGCTTTGCCCTCACAGGAATAAATTACATTTTGAATATTAAAATAGAAAACAGTTATTTTAAATTGTAACAATATTTTACAATATTACAGTTTTGTTTTTTTACTGTATTTTTGAGGAAATAAATCAAAACCATTTTTAAAAAAAAATCTTACAGACCTCAAACTTTTGAACACTAGTGTATTTAAAAAAAAACACTGCAGTTAAAAGCTTAACCAGAAGATACTGCACATGAGAAAGTACAAACTGTTAGATGTCATAACAAACCAGTGCTTTTTCCTAGTCGACTTTCTTTTCCAAGCCTCACTGAGCTGGAGAGGAGAGCTGCTTGTTCAGTGCTTGGGGTGGTTGTGGAGGAGGAATTTTAGGTCTTCTGCCTTGGGGTTTCTTTTGTGGTCCTCCTTCAGGCAACGTGGGCAATGAAGCTTGGGTGTTTTCGGGCTTGGGTGAAGGTGGTGGTTTTATTTCAGAGCTTCTCGGCAGAGGAACAGGGAACACTCTCGTCTGGGCTGCTGGGAAAGCGCCTGCCTGGTTCACAGGAGGGCCTTTGGCAAGGTTTGGTGCCTTGTGCTGAATGAAAGACCTCCTTGCTGCAGAAATCAATTGGAAATGTAGGTTCTAACACAATAAGACAGCACAAAAAGCATCTATGATCACCAACATACGTTTATAAGGAGCAGTGATCTTCAGGGTGGGCTCCTGGGATTGGGAGGGCAGCTCCTGAGTTGGCTCTGATTGGCTGCAGCACTGTGTCTTAGCCTGTGATTGGCTGTGCGCGTGTACCGGAGTGTAACGAGGAAGTGCTGAAGGCATGTGATTCAGTGTAGGTGGCTGAGCAATTTGATTAGAATCATTGTTGTCCCACACAACAGCATCACGGTTCACCTGAGTTTTCACAACTACTGTCACCCCAAGGTCCTCAGATGATGCTGAGCTGAAATTAGAAGCACACAAACCAAAACAAAATAAGACTTTTGTAAGTTTAACTTCATTAGTCTCATTTAGTAGAAAGTCTTGACCTTAAAAATTACAAAGTTGGTTGACTACCTGTCAGTTTTTGATAAGGATGGTCGACCGGAGGAGAAAGGGGGAGAGGGTAAGATGCTGTCAGAAAGAGGTCTCTGGGATATTTTCGGGATCGGGCTTTCAGGAAGTTCTGGGACCTCAAAATCAACCTCTAAAAAGAATTTGAGGAAGTTTGTGTTCAAATATTTTTATTTTGAATTTCACAAAATAAAATTCTTTGCACTTCACTGTTTTAATTATTTTTAATATCTAATACTTCATAAATAATTCAGCAAAAATAAAAAAACGTAAAACTTCCTAATTACATTAGTTTCCCCAAAGGAGGTTCATGAGTTGATTAAAAGCTAAAAAAGTTTCAGTCAAATTAAAGATTTAATTAAATAACATGTTAAATAGCTGCGAGTTTAACATGCATTTGGGAACGCAAATGTATGTTAGGGTCACCTTTTTTTTTTTACACATTTGCAAAATTTCCAACATTTTTGAGAGCAAAAGTTTGCAGCATTTCAGCAGTATTTCACCAAAATAAAAGCTTGAGGATTTGAATTTTTTTAAAGCTTGAGGGTTTAGACATTTGAAATTTAAGACATAAATATTAATATTGTAACTTGTAGTGTGAAATAAAATGATTATAATTATTAGCAAATATTCATTTGTATTTTACAGTACAATTGTAAGTTACAACAGAAATATATTTTCATTTTTGTAAGTAGAGTAAAACATAGTTTTTATTACTATTATTAAATTTAATTGGGTTCCTAAAACAGCAGTGTGAATGTAATGTGGACTGAGACCCTGTCACAGCTAAAAAGAGATTTGTGTCGACTTTAAAGACAAAATAAGCTCAAAATAAAACACTAAAAAACTTAAAATCTTTTATCTGTTTGCATGCCATGTGACCATTAAGCGACATCAGAGAATAGTAAACATGCAAACGTTTCGTAAAATTATTGAAATATTAACTACTTAAAATATCATGGGGTACTTCATGTAAATATTTTATGTCTAAGAGGTTTGGCTGCATTAAAGGATGAACTGAAATGAAATTCTGGAAGTAATAAAGGATGAACAGAAATGAAATTCTGGAAGTAATAAGATATTAAAGATATTTATTGCTGTTTTTAACAACAGTGAACCATGACTTATGTAATGTTCTTGTACCTTCGGGGAAGAGGCTCTTGGAATACTGTATAAGCGGCTCTATGACAGTCACAACTTGCAATGAAGAGGCAGATGCCATGTCCAGCAATGGCGTCTCTCTAAAAAAAAGGAGAAAGTCAGAGTAACATTTTAGGAGATTACATTTTAGATGCATACTTTAGTCTAGACTGGGTGCTATTATACTGACCCCTCACAGCGAGGCCACATTAGATTAGGTCCAAGCACTATGGCTATATTACTGGGTGTCATCTTATTCACCGCTTGCTGCTCTGACAAGTGTGACAGGAACTGGACAAGGTATCTGATGGAGAGAGAGAGAGAGAGAAGTCGAAGAAAGATACACAGAGTGAATGTGAAGTGTGAAAATCTGCATTAATATATTAGTTTGAGGTGGATATGAGCCATTCTGAGTTGAAACTCTGACTTACCTGAGGTTGTTATAGTTTTCTGTGGGAAGTTTTTGCAACACTGTCCGCAACTGCTTTAATTTTTCATCGGTTTCTTTTTCTCTAAAAATAAAAAATGACAAGACAATTAAAATGTATTCAAACTCAGTATCTAAGGAGTTTTAACATCGATACAGAAATAAACAAGCCGCATGTACAGACTTACGCTGCAGCTTTGAACCAGTCATTATATAACTCAAATGTCAGGAGCGGTTCAGGCAACTCTCTCAAGTAACACTTAAGAGCCCCTGCAAAGACAGTACAAACAATATAACATTAAATACCAGTATATGAATATGAATAGACAGCATCAGTCCCCATTTGCTATTAGTGTATAAAAAAAGAGCAGCTTGAACATTCTGCTAAAGTTCTCCTATTGTTCTCCTACGACATGAATAAATGATGGCTGAAATGTTTCTGTAATAGACAATGAGGATCCTAACAACACATCTGGGTTTTTTTTTTTATATGCTGCAGTTTGTCACCTTAACCACATATTGCAACCACATTTGGTGTGTATCACAAATCACTTATCCCATTATTGTCAGTTAAAGGGTTAGTTCACCCAAAAATGAAAATTAGCCCATAAATTACTCACCCTCAAGTCATCCTAGGTGTATATGACTTTCTTCTTTCAGACGAATCCAGTCGGAGTTATATAAAAAATTGTCTTTGATCTTTCAAGCTGTTTAATGCCACTCAGCGGGTGTTGCATGCACCAGTCCAAAAGAAGTTAAATAAAAAGTGTCTCACACGGCTCCAGGGGGTGAACAAAGGCCTCCTGTAGCGAATCGATGCGTTTTTGTAAGAAAAATATCCATATTCAAAACGTAATAATCACTTTAATGTAGCTGGCGTCAACAGTCCTACACGGAAGCTGCTCCGGGCAGATGATGTATGAGTAATGAGTTCAGCGTTGCGCATGCGTGAGTCTCGTGAAAACCAACGTTTGTTAACAGGAGCAAAGGAAGCAAAGTTTCCTTACTTTAGCAAAGGAAAACCAGTCTCCTCTTGGCTTATATCGAAGTCCTCTGACATTCTTCTTTACAAATCCTCGTTCTGTACTTCTAATAAGTGACCGTTGTTTTGTTTTGATCTCTCCCCTGCGCTTCCGCGTCCGTCACTTCTGAGTGGCGCATGTGCAACGCCGACCTCATACGTCATCCGCCCGGAGCTGCTTCAATGCACTGGATAGCTGGCCAATCATAGCACACCTCGCTTTTCAGACCGATTAGCTTTGTAAAAATCGACGCGTTTCAGAAAGGCGGGGCATAGAGGAGAAACAATAATGTACAGTATGTGGAAAATAATGTGTTTTTTAAACCTTAAACCGCATAAACATTTCATTACACCAAATACACAAAATAATGTTCTTTTTAGCAACATCATATGACCCCTTTAAAGTGATTATTACGTTTTGAATATGGATATTTTTCTTACAAAAATGCATCGATTCGCTACAGGAGGCCTTTGTTCACCCCCCGGAGCCGTGTGAGACACTTTTTTTTATGGATGGGCACATTTTATTTAACATCTTTTGGACTGATGCATGCAACACCTGCTGAGTGGCATGAAACACCTTGAGAGATCAAAGACAATTTTTAATATAACCCCGACTGGATTCGTTTGAAAGAAGAAAGTCATATACACCTAGGATGACTTGAGGGTGAGTAATTTATGGGCTAATTTTCATTTTTGGGTGAACTAACCCTTAAGGCATCAGCTAATATAAAGTCATACAAACAACGTCACACAAATCACACAAAAAAAGTTACTATGGCCTTTCACCTGCCACAGCATGTGGCTCATAGCTGAACTCATTCTGGTCGACAGTCCCTGAATCCAGACAGCTTTTCAGTTTTTTTACAACAGACGCAGCAGCTGCTAGCCTGAACAAACCCTAGATGACAGTTGTAAAGATAAGATAGTGAGAGATTGTTAAGATGAGAGTGGAAAAGTGAAACACTATACTCCTGATACTGGGCATGCAGTTATGTGGGTGTGCAATCATCTGTGTGTAGGTGCATGTGTGGCTTTTAAATATGCATGTGTGTGCTTACCTCTTCCCTAAGTCCTGTACGTAGCAGCATGCCGACACACTTCTCAATAGGGACAGCAATCTTTCTTCCACAGCTCCGAAGATGAGACAGCAGAGGCTCTCCAAAAACC